TAATTTATATAATTTTATATAAAATTATATAAAATTCGATATATTATCTCTCTCCTGTAAGTAAAATCTTCAGCTGATTGCAAAAGGAAAGTTTAGTGAACAAAATAAAACTAAAACACTTCAAAGGAAGTATTTCCTCCAGGTGCAGCCCTTAGTGTGGTTCTGGCAGTTTGGCACCGACTCAGATAAGCAAATTTTTGATGGCTTTTCACAAACATACCATCATAATTTTTGGTTTATCTTTTTGTTAACATTTAAATCCCAGGCCAAATTGTTGACACTCTGGTTTTTTGTCCCCTTGCAGGAGTAACGACTGTGCTGACGATGACAACGCTGAGCATCAGCGCTCGAAATTCCCTCCCCAAAGTGGCGTACGCAACAGCCATGGATTGGTTTATTGCTGTCTGTTACGCCTTTGTGTTCTCCGCACTCATTGAATTTGCAACTGTCAATTATTTCACAAAACGAGGATGGGCCTGGGATGGAAAAAGTGTGGTGAATGATAAGGTAAGTCCTGAGGAAATAGCCCTATTTCCAGTCAGTTGCACTAACACAGCTGTAATGTGTGGCCTTGATAAAATTGGCTATATAAAAAAAATAAAAATACATGATGCTTTAAATCAAAAGAATGGAGATATATTTTCTGTCCTGAACAAAAATATATATCTGCCTTGATGTAGCTAATCTCACTTGGTCTCAATAATCCAGATTTACTTATCAAGCACATTGTTTTTTTAAGCTGGGAACTGTCTGACTTCTTTCTTGGCTCCTCAGATACAACTTTTTATCTGGTTGTTCAGAAAATTCAATCCAGATCATATTGGTTGATCACTTTTTTGTTATTTAATCCACTTGAGTTGGAAAGAAGAACAATATTACAGAAAGATACAATGTATTCATTTTCCTTAACATTATTTTTTGTTCTTATTCTTAATATAATGGATTAATTTTCCTGGTAAGTAAGGATCAGAAAAACAACCAAATGCCCATGTATATAATAACCAAAAAACCCAAAATCTAGACGTTTTGACCATTTTTGGTATTCTGAAACTTATCCCTAATGAAATGTAGACATTAATTTTTAAATTAATTTAAATAGCAGTTGTACTACAGTCTGAGTACCTCTTCGCTTCCGATGTATTGATGCTCTGAGTGCGCAGAAACACAGTCACCCCTTAATTTTCTGGTATTGGTAGCAGTGTAGGTGTGATAGCACAAAGAAATTTTAACCTGATAGAATTTCTTATTTTGTGAACAAAATGAGCTGCTGATACGCCTAAATTTGTGTGAAGCTTTACAGTTTATAATTTTAATAGCATAGAACAAATGTTAAAGCTAACTGGTTGTTTTGGCTGGCTCACTGTATTGTGTAATTTTATCCTGTCCCAGTTTCTGATTCTACCAAAGGGAAAGGATTTCTTCTGACAAAGAATACTCTTGATTTCTGTGGTTCTCCTTAAAACAGGATAGAATATTATTTGCTTCCTAGATGATAATACTAGATGTGAAGCAAGGTTTAATTAACTGATGGTTTCTCAGCACTTTGAATGTCGAAAGCATAAATGAGCAGAATGTTCAGTGAACGGTAAAGAAGAATTAGAGGAAATGAGGACGCTGTTTGTCGTTCTCTGTGGCTTCTGGAAGGACACGAGCTCTCTGTAGCTTCAGGATCCATTCCCTCGTGCTGGAAGTAGACACAGAATCACTACAAGTGATGATCAGGGGTGAAGCTTTTCGGGCTGACACGCTGCCCTGGCATGGCAGTAACGTGGGGAGCCCTTAGAGCTCTCCGATCGTCCTTCGGCTCTTCCTTGAAGGTGATCTACGAAGTCATATTCCTTCCCCAGGAAAGACCAGATCAGCCATTCCATGTTGAGATTGATGTACCATCTGTGTGTCCAGCACTCTGTTTTCTTCAAACTGACTGAACAAAAAGCGAAACTTTTAACACGTTCATGGTTTCTCCTGCAAAAATAGGGTGGTTCTTGATTATTCAGGTCTCATTAACAGTATTACGGATACCTTTAAAAACACACTAAGTGTGTCTGAAAGGAAGGAATTGTAGATTAGTAAGGGTGTTCTTCTCGTAATTTGATGTGGTAATTGCTCTTATTTTCGCCAAATGCACCTGTACACCTAAAGCCAGGCGTACTCTTCACCAGATAAAGTGAAATATGTTTCCTCAGTGACAGTCGCCTGTGTTCACCTTATAGAAAATTCCCATCTAAGTGCTGTCAGCATGGAATTTCTCTCACAGGAAGGCAGGTGCAGGGCCAGGTGATATATTTGGTCAGCCCTTTTTCACACGCCAGTCAGCAAGGAACAATGCTGAATTCCCACTCGATCCCAGATTTTCTTTTTGTGTGACGCCATCTCCTGAGACAAGGTATTTGGGGCACAACATCTAACCGTGAAGTTCTTATCAAGATTTGTAGATGGCCCTGATAAATGTAAAATTGGAGCTAATTTAAAATCAGAATTAGAAATTGGATAGATGCCTCCCTGTGGAAGTAAAAAAATTAGAATGCACCTGTAGGAGAAACATCACAACATTTCCTTTACTCGTGCCACTTCCATTAGGTTAAAAATCAAACCAAACCAATAAAGCAGCAGATTTCTTATGTGAGCTGGAAATTAACTATTTCTTGTTCTGTTTAATTCTGTATTTTGTGGAGGAAATGGACTGAGTCTAATAATTATTTGCCTGCTTCTAAATTATATATAGAGAGCCTTGCTTCCTGAGAAACTGAAATCCTTCCATTCTTTCCCATAGGTTAATAGAAGTTCCTTAGTTTGGGAATACTGCAAAACAGTGAATCAATTTATACCATTGCAGTCTTATTGCAGAGCTAGTCTGTGTACCTATATATATGTCTAAAAAATTGAGCCTATACTTATTACCTGTTCATCCCTGCATCCATCTATAGACATGGCCTCTCCGTTGGACTGCCGTTGGCTGAGCTTTAGCTGTCTGAAAGCATAGAGAATCCTGTAAAAACATGGAATTGCTGAGGTTGGAAGGGACCTCAAGCGATCATCAAATTTAACTCCCCTGCTCCAAGCAGGGTCAGCTAGGGACGGTTGCTCAGGGTCGTGTCCAGATGATTTTTTTAATATCTCCAAGGATGGAGAGTCCACAGCCTGACTGGGCAACCTGTGCCAGTGCTCAGTCATGCTCACAGTAGAACAGGGTTTTTTGTATGTTCAAGTGGAATATTCTGTATTTCAGTTTGTGCCCATTGCCTCTTGTCCTTCCACTGGATATCACTGAGAAGAGTCTGGTCTGATCTTCTTTACCCTTTCCCACCAGATGTTTCTATATGTTGATAAGATTCCCCCCCTGAGCCTCTCTTCTCCAGGCTGAACAGTCCCAGCTAACTCAGCCTTTCGTATTTTGGATGCTTCAGGCCTTAAATCATCTTTGTGGTCCTTCACTGGACTCACTCCATTACGTCCATGTCTCTCTTGAACTGGGGAGCCCAGAACTGGGTCCAGCAGTCCGGATGCATCTCACCAGGGCTGAGTGGAGGGGAAGGATCACCTCCCTCGACCTGCTGGCAACGCTCTTTGCGATGAGTCTGGGAGGGTGTTGGCCTTCGCTGCTGTGAGAGCACGTTGCTGGCTCTTGCCCAGCTTGGTGTCCACCTGGACTTTTGCTGCAGAGCTGCTTCCCAGCCTCTTAGCCCCAACCTGTACTGGTGCAGGGGGTTATTCCTCCCCAGGTGCAGGACTTACACATCCCATTGCTGAACTTCATTAAATTCTCGTCATTCCATCTGCCTTTTCGTATCTTCTGCTATTTTTTAGGTTCTAATCCCCATTTTCATCACTGTTACGCATTTTTAAACAATAATTTCTGAAAAACAGAAAAAATTCTCGGGCTAGTTCTCAGCCTGCTTCTGCAGCTACCAGGCTGCAGTCCTCCTTTCTCTTAATCGCAATCTCTTTGTGACCTCTCTGTATGTGTCTATGTATATATACACGTAAACACACACAGATTTCTCCAGAATCTCTTAAAAATGTAGACCGTTACTGAAATTCCTTTATTTATTGGTGGAATGTTATGAGATGTTCAAATAAAAGCGATGCTAGATTTATGTGGGAGAGATCAACACTACAATATCATTTCTTTTAGGCTGCCAGTCTTTACTGCTAGTTCTCTTAACAGAGAACATTTTAAAGACCTTGAAATTCTGTTGTAAGGAGCCAGATACAAAGCAGCTAGAGAAAGACAACTCTTCCAGTTATCCTTACAATGGCAGTAACAGACCCTTACTCATGTATCTTCAGCAGGGCGTTTGATGGTGTGAGAGTCCGTGTTTTTAGAGCATTCTTACATTACCTATAACTTCTTTTTGGATAGACTAGAAGTATCTTTATGTTTGAATTTATCAGTGTGATATTCCTGGTATTTATTTTAGCATACTCACACATACTCGCTTGTTTCTTTTACATTTGAAGTGATGTTTTATTAAGCCTATACTGGCAAATGCACATTAAATATTTAACTTCATGCTGTCTTCCAATAGAAAAAAGAAAAAGCGTCTGTCATTAAGAAAAACAATGCCTATGCAGTGGCTGTTGCCAACTATGCTCCAAATATTACCAAGGACTCAGTGCTACCAACCATCTCCAAGAGTGCTACAACCGCAGAACCCAACAAGGCAAAGCCCGAAGCGAAGCCGCAGGAAGCAAAGAAGACGTTCAACAGCGTTAGCAAAATTGACAGAATGTCTAGAATAGTGTTTCCAGTCTTATTTGGTACTTTTAATTTAGTGTATTGGGCTACGTATTTAAACAGGGAGCCTGTCTTACTGGGCTTTGCACCATCAACCTAGAAGCCGAATTGCACTGAGGACTCACAGCATCATTCTAATCAGATAAGTTGTTCGCTATGTACAGTACGACTAATAACTGCTAATCTGTGAACCATTGTGTACAGAGTGTATATAGGTGTCTTATCTGTGTATCTCCAAAGGAGGGACACAGTGTTAATTCGTGGGTCTGTAAACAGATAGCACCCGTGGCAAACACAGCCAGCTCTTTCAAAGTGATACCCGGGGGAGTTCTGCTAAACTGGGATTCAAATACGCAGAATTATATTCTCTCCGTACAACGTAATGAAGAGATGATCCTACATAATTATTTAGGAACAGTATTTTTTTAAGTTAAAGTTAAAATATTTTTCTATAAAGTAACTAATTCTACTTTAATGAAAGAAACTGTCATTTAAAAAAGTGATTTTTTTAGGAAGGTGTAATTGTTTCATATAACAGCAGTCCCCATGTACATAGCAGAGTCCGGAGGCCGTACAGTTCTATTGCTCACAGACGTTCTGGCTACTCGTTAGGCTGAAGAAGTAGTAAAGACAAAATGGCAAAGCCACAAGTTTCTTACTTCTGTCCTGTTCGAAGCTGTTAATAAACTCTTCTAATTGATTTCAGGGAAAAGCAGGCATTAATCAAATTTCCAATACCAACCAACTTCCACTAGTGAAACTCTTATTCTTGTCGCTATTTTATTTATTTGATGTTGCTAAACTAGGTTGTCTGGTTCAGCAAAGTTGGATTTTTTGCTTTTTGATTTTTGTTCTTAATTGGATTATTGTCAGGTTCATAAAAGCACTCAGAAATTTTTCAGGGTTAAGTATATCAGTAATATAATACACTCTTTTTCTTTGCTTAATGTTGTCCTAAAACCTGCCATCAAAATATTTACCTCTATTTCTCCCAGAGCGCATTGTTTTCGAGGGAAGCAAAAACCATGAATTTAAGTTCAGGAAATTGTCCATATAATAGAATTTACTGCTGCTTTTGTAAATTGCAACTTTACATTTCGCTGACATAACTTTACAACAACTTTGTATACTAGAAATGGTTTTGCTAAGATTTGAATGTTATTTTTTTAATAAAAGGTCATGCATCATCAGTAGGTATCAACTGTATTTCATATATAGAAAGATAACAAAATTGGAGCTGCCATTTGCAATTTTATATGAATATTTAATACTGATCAGTAAAATTGTTTTTCGTCTGAGCCTTTGCAAAGATTCTTTATGCCCCTGAAGGCCTGGTAAATCATGACATAAGAAATTGTGTAGTGTATCTAGATTTTAGTATACTTGGCCGATCAAAAATATTTTGATTCACACATACATTAGCAGTTATTAGTTGACCTTTAAAAAAAGATACACCTTTATGATGGTGTCTTCTAGTAGAGACATATGTAGTCGTATAGTGTCATTTATTGCAGTTTTGTACAGTACTTGAGTATAGTGCATAAAATAGATATGTTCAGAGTTTAAAAAAGTTGTACAAATATTTCTAAAATCAAATAAAAGAGTATCTTAAGACATGGAAATGTGCTAAAAACAACAGAGAAATACGGATTTCATTTGCTGTTTTATTTTCTTGCTTTTTCTTCGCTTTTAATGTGATTCTGTTTTGTACTTTGTGTGACAGTATAGATGCCAAGGTCACAAATGCATATTATGAATAGAATTAACAGTTAAGACAGAGTTGACATCAGTAAAATAGAGACATTTTGTAAGTTATAAATGAAAGGGAGAAGCATGGACAAGGTGTGTGTACCTTGAAGTCCCTCTGATTAAACCGTCAGATTAAACCTTTCTCATCAACAGTAGTTAAAAAATGAGCACTTTACTCAGAACGTAAAAATAGAAATATGCTTATTTTCATATATATTTATATATAAATGTAGATCTTCCATGTAACATGGAGATGTGTGCAATAGTGTGATTACGAGCATAAGGCTGGAAGGCAAGCAATAACAAAAAAGGTTTTTTTCATGGTATAATTATACATTTTAAAAATGTTTCATTTGTAAATTAAATTATCCCTTTAACGTCACAGTGTCCAGGTACGAATAAATATATAAATATGTACATATGTACAAATAATTGTAAATACTTGAACTGTAGAAAAATCCCTCCGCTTTTAACTCTGTTTTTGGCAAAGGGCTCTGACTGCGTAGTTTAATGGAGGCCCCATGCTAAACTGCTCTTGAACGTCAGTAGCTCGACCACGTTTGCTGTGGCCGAGGTCTCCTCCCTGTGACCTGGTGGGAGTTCTCACCGCCGGCTCACGTCAGCGAGACCTGGGGACGCCCCGAGCCTAGCCGGGCTGGGAGATGAGCGACAGAGGTTTGAGATTCGCCCTTGGCCGCGGCCCAGGTGCCCCGCACCCTTCGCGGTGTTCCGGCAGCGCTGTGCATGGCTCCGCGCGTGACGCCGGGCGGTCCCAACTCTCCCCGTGACAAACACGAGCGCGCTCCCGGGCACGTCGGGTTGCCTGATAGGGAAGGATGTAGCGTCCTGAGCCAAGAACGGGGCACCTCAAAGGTTTTTAACAGCGCAAGTCTTCTCCAGCGAGACTTCTGGGAGATAACATCTGTGTAGCTCAGAGCTGAACGCGAGGAGCGTGTCTTCAGTTTGCACGAGAAGCCTGGTGCTCTCTCATGTTGGTCAGCTCTGCTGCTGCTGCCTGTGCTGAGTATGATTATTTTTTCATTCACTGACCATTTTCTCTACGCTTGTTAGAGTCAGAGAAAAGCACAGGTGTTTGTCACACGCTAAAGACACATTTATTGCACACTCATATAGAAAAATAGACACGATATGAATTCGCTCGGTGAAAAATAAGATGTTTTCAATATCCACGTGCAGCTATTGCGGGCGTGAGCAAGGCTTCGGAGGGCGGACGCTCGAGAGAAGTTTCCCTTTGACATTTAGTTCGGTTGCTCTGTGCTAAAGCAAACTCCTCCTGCGGGAGGAAGGAGCCTGCTTTACTACTGAAACATTGACAGTGAGTAAACTGACTACGCAGCGGTCGCAAATTTTGAAGGCTAACAACTGGAGAAGTGAATCTGAAAGTAAAGATGTAGGTGAACACGAGCGTCGCGAAAGGAACACCGGCATACAAGCGTTGGGCCGTCTTTCCGTTTAGCAGTGTAGAATCTGTGTCTGGGATTTTAAAGCCATCGTCACAAATTCATGTGCCAAATACCTAGAAGTTTCATTTAATTTGAGTAAAACTTGCTGGTCTTAAATACTTAACGCAGGGAGAGCGAGCATGAGTGAGCAAACGCAAGTCACTTCATTATCAAAGAATTGCACATGGAATCCACCAGTGAAATTTTTGGTTGCCATGTTAATCTAATTTATTTTTCCCATTATTCTTGGATCAGGGTGTCATCTTTTATGTGACTTAAGAAAGGAATACAATAAATACAATGCTATAACACTGTGGTAAACTTGGATTGAAATTACCATAATTCTGAACGAGGTTTATGAAATGGGTTTCCAGTGTAGAGCTGGGGCACGTAGCTCTGGATGCATGTGGTCAGTAATTTATAAATCAGCATGAAGAATATAGAGATCAGCAGGGCTTGTCAGCCAGGGTTCCCTGCTGGAGGCCTTTTAACAGATGATTGCTTTCAAAAGAGTGGCTTCCCAACTTCTGAATTACGTTGTGGGCAATGAAGTTACCCTCACCTCCTGTGGCTGGGTTAATACGACTTGTAACTGCTGTGTTGTTGAGCACCTCTACAAAAATTATGATGGTAGATGTGCTGAGGTGCAAGTTTCGGCTCAGGAGACTACTCGTACCAGTGAATGTTATGCTGAATTAAGGAGTTAGCCTGCCAGTATGGTCACAGGAGAGCTCATGGAGGAGCCTCTCTAGACGCCAGACAGGAGCCTTGGTGAATGATCTTCCCTTCCCCATGATTAGAGATAAGGTATGGGGTGGGGTGACCATGAACTGCCTGCGTGAAAGCAACCACGAGCAGCTGGGAGGAGGTAGGGATGTATGGGGGAGGACAAGGGGAAAGAGAAGAAGCTTCATCACTGTGTCAGTGGGTTGTGAGATGGAGCCATGGAGGGAGGTAGTACGTATTTTTGTTTCTGCTTCAGTTCTGAGCCTTCATTATCATACGTGAGTTGTGAGATAGTAACTTTTAGAGAGTGTGAAATTGAAATACTTGTAGAATTCTGATGAACTTGAGGGACATGCATTGTGCCTTTGAACCTGAGAGGCTTCTGCTGACGGCTTGATGAAAGCCACGAAATGTTGTGTGCTTCCTCCGTACGGGACGGCGAGGGCAGAAGGGGAGAGGAAGCTGCAGGAATTAAGTAGAACTTAGTTGATTCTAAGGGGTTTTTTTCTTAAGAGGTGTGACTTTCACTTAAGCACAGATAGTCAGCACCCATCCTCCATACCTCTCATTCCTGTTCTGAAAGCTTAGTGCTGCACCAGTTTTTGCCTTGGCCTTGCACAAAATAGATGAAGTCTGTGCTTCTGAACATTGCCATTTGTATGAATTTCCATGAAAGATGGTTTCAGTATGGATATGAAGCTATCATCAGTCTATGCCTGCTTATGTGTAGACACATAATGCTAAAATTCAGAAAATGCAATGGGTTTTAAAGCAGAGGAAGAAAACATCTTAAAATGAGCCCAGAAAGTTAGCTGGCTTCATTTAAAAAACACAGAGCGTTGATAAATGTACAAATGTCTAAACACGTCTAAATAGAATCTCTGAGTGGGCTATAATTTGATGACATATATAAAGTTTTTATCTTAAAGAGTTTGAAATGTTAAAGTAATTGAGTTTATATGAAAGTCAGCTCACTCTTCAGCCTCCAGTGAAGGGAGTGGTTCTTTAGAAAGCAGAGTTTTAGGATTCCTTCCACCTTTTCCCAGCGACAGCCTACCTCCTGCTAGAACGCTGCCAGTTTCCAATACAACTTTGAGTTATATCCCTTTAACATTATCTTCTCTTGAATTTTTTTCAGTCAAGGAGACCTCCTCCACCTCATTTCTGTAGACAGCCCAAACTCCCCAACAACTAGAACTTTTAATTCTATTCTGAATCCAGTTGTTTATTCCAGCCATCTGAGAACCTGACTTTATCACTTTAGACCTTTAGTGATAAAAGCTAAAGGCCCAATAGTTTATTTCAATGAATGTTAATCACGTAGAAAGTTTGCTTTCCTCTGCTTTAAACCATTTAATTTTCTAGATTCAGATCTCTCTAGGCGAATC